TTTATGTATTCTTAATAGCCAATTAAAATTTAATGTTAAAATTATAAGTTCAGTCTTTTTTTTTTTTTTTTTTACTGACATGACCCACTTCATATTTGTATATTTCACACAAGCTCACACATAATCTAACCGATGAGATTGGATAGGTAACCATTAGTAAATATATAACTAATATTTTGTTAGAGAAATCCAAGATCATACTCATCTGATTTATCCCATTTCACGATCACAAGTCCCATAACCTATTCAGGTCATGGAGGCACCACACATACAGCATCCTTAACAACAGTAGTGTGTCTTTGGCAAGATAGCCCCACAGAACCCAACTGGCATTATATTTACACATCTTTTTTTTTCTTCTCAAATCATCTTCAATTGATAAACATTAGTAAATGTCTTTCATGGCTAATAAATCCTTCACATGTAGAAAAATGTCAGTTCAGTACATTGTAGATCATTAGAAAGAACATATGACTAAAAGATAAGTATATGATTCAATCTCCCTCAACCTTATCAACTGTAACTCAGAAGCAAAGTTCTTAATTTTTAAATCCAAAACTGATGGGACTTTTTCACCATGACTAGACTATGGCAATTTATTGCTATGGTTTCTAAGCATAGTACAAAAAGAGCTGGATTTGCAAGACCATGCAATGTTCCAGACACACTTCACAGCCAACATATCAGAAGTTTCTTACAGAACACAGAGTTTAAAAGAGTTAGTAGTCAATTCTTTTTATATTGAAGAGGGAATAGTATTTGATGGATAGAAATTTAACATTAAAATTAGTTTCAAATTTACATGTCTGGAATTTAGGAAAGTGTTTTCATACCTTCTGGACAATATTTAAAACTGGATGACAGCCCAATTACCAACTGGATGAAAGGAAAACAAAAATATTAATAATTAGCTAAGTAGTAACTTTCTTAAGTTCTATTATAGCAAGAGTCAAAACAAGAAAATACACGAGTTATCTCCCTTAGGTTGTGCGAAAGAACAGTGTAAATATTTACTGTTCTGTGAGCATTTTGCTGTAACGTATTGGAAACGGTTTGGATGCTCCTCACTTGTGACATTTATGCCAGATTAAGCTAGGCTCAATAATAACTCTTCACGAAATTTAACTTAATCCAGGAAAAAATTACATTAGTGGAGCACCCAGTAAAAATCAAACACAACAATACTAAACATCCTACCAGCTTGCTAAATATTGCTTTACTGTAGCTTGTAATAATTGCTAGTTGATTATTCTATGGTAATTTCGTTCTCATTTGAATTGATTTTAATTAACCATATCTGAATATTTTCTCTTCATAATCAGTGTTAACAAAAAAAGCATTTTAATAGCCAACAGATGAAATGTCTTAGATTTCATTTTAATATTTAAAAATATATTAAAAACCAATTTCATAAGCAAATTATTTTAAAACAAAATATTCAGATGTTAATAATAAAAACTTTAATGCGAACAGAATTATTAAAAAGAAAGAGAAAAGAGCCACTGTTTCAACAAGTTTGTTATTCAAACATAAAAATGTTTTTCATAAAGTGTTTCTACTTTTGAGGTTATTCTGGCCTGAACATTGTTGAGTGATGATGCTTTTATGTTCTAAAAGCATTAAAAATAAATGACCAATTGTTAAATACTGTCAGAGAAATGACTGTTTCTCTTAAGAGAGAGCTATCACGTTTGCAGCTAATTCACTTGAATGCTGTTATGGTAGAATCAATATTGCACTAAGTTGCAAACACAACTTTTTAGAAGAAATAGTCAAATTGATAGCAGATCTAGTTCTCATATCTCATGTGAATACTACTTTTGAATAGAATCAAAATATTGAAAAAAAAAAAAAAAAAAAAAAAAAAAAAAAAAAAAAAAAAAAAAAAAAAAAAAAAAAAAAAAAAAAAAAAAAAAAAAAAAAAAAAAAAAGAAAAAAAAAAGACATTTATCTAAAGATTAACAAATGCATGTTTGTATACAGCTGGCTTGAGAAGTTCAAGAACATGTGTCTTGGGAAATATTCCCCACAAAAATAAAAGATTTTGCATCAACAGCTGAAAAAGCAAAAGGAGAATTTAAATTAGATTTTTTAAGTTAAAAAAAAAAAAAAAAAAAAAAAAAGATACAGAAAACCTCATCCTAGAATTCATAATTATTAGCAGTTAGTTAAGTTTGTGATAATCTAACTAAATATATATGATTAAATATTTACTAAATAAGACTTTTTATTGCCTTAATTTAAAAAAGAAATTATTCTGATAATTGGAAATGTAACTTTCTTTTTCCAAGTTTTATTTTTAAAATGTTATATAATACTTTAATAAAGCTTATAATATAAGATTTCTATTTACAAGTATTATTACTAAAAAGCAAATAGCTTGGTCAATGTTTGCTACTATTTTCAAACTACAAACATTAAATGACCATGTCCAACCCAAAACGCCTTAACGTGAGGTAATGGTTAGTGAGATAGTCTAGTTGACCATTACTATTGAGTAATTTCAATCGTCATTGGGAGCCTCATACTTATGGCGTTTTGCCAAAATAAGCTAAGCTTATTAAAATATAAACGTCCAACTCAGAGATTCCTTGCATAAAATAAAACGCAGTTATCTCCCCTGAACATAAATGAGTGGTTTATAAGAACATTTGTTTCTTTCAGGTAATAGTCATCAGGATAGCAATTATTGGCCATAAAAATATAAAAATTTTTTTTTACATAAAAAAATGCTGTTACCTACTTTAAAAGAACCCAGTGAAAAGAAGTGGAACAATAATTTTATATGACTATTTTTCCTATCTTCAACTGTATTTTAATATTTGTTTTTTGTAGTTTGCTCTGTAGACTTGAATACATACATCATCTAAAGAATATGGAAGTTGAAAACTAGCACAAAAAAGTAAATAGTAACTATAACAAAATCACATAAATCAATAATTTATAAATATTAAACTATAATGTTTACCTGTGGTATTAACAGAGTGATAAAAACATTTATTTTTGACCGTTATTTTTTCATTTTATTGTTGCTTTTTTATCATCCCATTCTCTGACCATTAAAACAAGATGCCAGATTCAGGATAAAATAGCAGCTTTTAACAAGAAGTTGGACAACATTTTAAATAAATCACATGTAGAAGTCTTGATTTTAACAGTTGATGGATATTCGATGATGATGAAAAGCAACAATAACTAGTCAAAGATTAACAATACTTCAGATAAGAATTCAAATAACACCAATAAAGACATTGAATACACTTCTCAACTTCATTAATAAACACTGAACTGTACTCACCACCTGCAGCTTAGTTTTTTTTAGATTCTAAAGTAGGTGACTCAATAATTTATGATTTCATGAATTCCAAATATATAGTCAGGCAAAAGAGTATTAATTTAAATACATTAATCATAGAATTTTTATATTAATATAGAATGTTTGGTGTTATTGGTTATTTGATTTAGAATTAACTGCTTAGAGATTGTAAAAGTTTTGTTTTTTCTTTACAAATAAAAAAAAATACATTGCAATTTATCAAGCAAAAATTAATGTAAAAAATACACCCTTATAAGTAAATATAAGTTTCATTCATTTTTAATAAATATTCATTAATAAATATTTTGTATATTCATCAATAATAAATCAGCTGTATTTAACTAACATTTTTATCTTCATCTATTTTGTTTTTAAACATTAAATAAATATTCAAGTTGTCAATTATCAATAAATTCAACTTAAATGTAAACAAGATAGTAAAGATTGGAAAACAAAGAAAAAAAAACAGAACAAAACACCAAAATTATAATTTCCAAAGTAAAAATAAAAAAGGGCCAAGTAAAAATCTTATAAGATTACATACGGCCATTTACACACCATTTAATAAATCCAAACTGAAAAATAAACTGTCAATAAAAATTTTTTTTTTTGCATTACAACTTTCAAAATAAAATTCTTACACAAAACCTTCAATAGAAAAATCTGCAGATTTTCAAAACAGAATCAAGCTTCTTTTTTTTTTTTTAAGTAGAAGGCAAGAACAGCAAAATAACTGGTGCCAGAGAGAACACCCTTTTGACAAAAATTTGAATATATCCAAAGACAAAATGACAAGGCATATTCCAAGTATCACAAGTGTCTCAATTTCATCTTTGTTGCAATACAAGTTTGCATTAGACATGCTGACAGAAAAAAAAAAAAAACCTGAACTACTTTAAAAAAAAAAAAAAAAAAAATGAATTCCTTGCCAAATTGTCATCTCTTTTACATTATCAAAAATCTTAAAGATCTGGATTTTGTTATCAATCCACTGAATTAAGAATGAATTTAAATTATACAAGAGAAATTCAAAATTACTTATGAAATTTCTAAAACCTTAAAAACTATTATCATATTTCATTACAAGCACAGCTTTAAAAGTTATCCAGCTTTTATTGTTTCAAGGCCATGGAAAAATATTAAAATAAAAATGTAGAATTCTCATGATCAAAGAAAATTTGGAAAAATTAATGCAAATAATCATACTATTAATTTATATTACAGCAGAAGCATGGGACAAGAGGTATGTTTGGTCCCATGACCAACCTATAGATTATAAAATGTGCTGAAAACAAGCAGGAAGAAACAAAGTTACTTTTAAAAATTGTTTCTTCCCACATTCTAATTAAAATTTAGAAATGTGATTTTTTTTTTTAAATATTCCTCATTTATAACCTAAAATTAACAACAATGAGATGGGTTAAAAAAATAACCCTAAAATTAATTAGGGATTTTTAATATTTCTATCTATTTTATATTAAAAATCTCAAAATGGGGAATGAAGTCTTTTGATCTTAAATGTTGGGTTTGACTTCAAATCTCACCAGAGAGCTTCCATTTTCTATTTGAAAATCCTTAAAACGAGAATTCAATATAGAAATATAGATTCCTTTTTAACAAGTGTGCGAAATAACGGGTAGAATCTTTTATATGACACAAAAGTGTTTTCAGCAGAAGTCCCATGTCAATTATGATTCAGCAATCTGGAAAATAGAAAAAAAAAAAACGAAGCTTAATTTAGAATATATATTAGATCTTTTATTGTTCTTTGTTTTAATTTTAAACAAGATGGTTATTTCTATTACTTGTATTAAATATTAACCAAATCATTAATATTTAGTGATTACTCATTTCTTTACTTCACATCAGCATTTATTTAAAAGATGAAAATATAGTACCAACATATTAAAGAGGGAAATTTCTGCTCATTTAAATCTTAAGATTTTACAAATTAAAAAAAATATCTTGATTTACTCAGATTAAAGTAAAGCACACATTCTTTTCTTTAAAAATTCTATTCAGTTTAAAAGGAAGCAACTTTCAGAAGTTTGAAGCATATAACAAAAAGAAAACTACAATATAACTTGCATTAACCAAAAAGTTTAAAATTTGAGTGAAAAATAGTTTTAAAACAGGTATGTTTGGTAAATGCAATTGATAGTGTAGAATTAAAGTTATTGTATTTGATCTAATAAAACCATCCCACTCCTTTGTTCTAAAAAAGAAAAAAAAAAAATCCCCCGTGTCTTATATGGGAAGTATGGCATCTGATAAGTTAATCTTTATTCAAATGCCAGTTATTATCCCCAATGATGCTGAAATATTAAATGTAAATAGGGTGGGGATGTTTCATATATCATCAAATACAAGGGGATGTTGAAAAGTTTTCAACTTGACCAAGAAACACTTCAAGAAAAAAGTCTAATATCATTTCTTCAGATTTTAAGAAGTGAATCAGGTTGAGAATTTTTATTTTTCACCAACCGTTTGTACACTCATTTTTGTTAGTTAAAGTATTTTAAAGTACTTTTTAAAAACATGTTTCAAGATAGGAGGTAGGTGGAAAGCAGAATATGGACATTTTTATAAGAGAAATCACAGAAAAAACTAATTTACAGCAAATAATCAGTTTTTCATTTTATAGTAATACAATAATATAGTAAACTTAATTGCTAATTATAGGGTACAAGAAAAAATTTTCAGTTCTTTTACTTAAGATAAAACAGAGGGGGTTATTTTGTTTGTTTGGATGATCAACAAAATGTGTAAGGAATAATTATCAGAGATTGGTTAAAAAGTAATTAAATTATTATAACATATAAAACTAGGAATGCAAACTTCTTTGTCAAGTGACACATTGGGTTCAAGAGGCTCCAGATTTGACTAACCAAATTTTAGTAGTACACATTTATAAGCACCAATTGTGGGGGTAACTGATTTCAAAAGCCATTAGCCACTAATCCTCATTCAGAGTTACACAAATATGAACTTTGACTAAGTTTAATAAATAACTAGAAACCAGAAATAATGGAAACATATTGCAATGAAATTGCATCATATCAATATTTCTTAATGCTGAGAAACTTGCTATTTCTGTGATTAAACAATCTTGAGAAATAAAAAAATGACTGAGTCATTATAACATAACATTATTTATTCTTTACATCTCTTTGTTTCGCTGTCTAAATTTTATCATGCTAAAGAAAACTGAAATATAAAATTAACATGTGATTCTTGCCCTGATTCAAACACTCAATCTAGGAGATAAGCAAGTGACAAATTCACTATATTGATGTTCTGCTGTTTAAACAGCATAGTAAAATTAACTTGCAAATACTAATTTAATCAGAGTGTATAGATATTAAACTAATTCTAGATAGAGAGATGGGGGAGTGACACTTTGATCCTCAGCAGAATGCTCAAATACTATACAGATCATAAGTACCAATCCCTATGTAGATAATAACATTAAAAGTTCAAACCAGACTGTTTTGTACACAAATGTTTAATTGCTAAAAAAAGTGAAGCCTGAAGCAGATTGTTCTGCATATATATTTTTTTTAATATTGAATTAAGAATATGTACTCTACACTTTTAATCTCTGCTAAACATACATTTGCATAGTTTTACTAAAATTAGGTTGTGTGTGTAGTATAAGGATTAGCAACTTGGAAAAAGATATCAGTGAGTAGAATTCAAGCCCGAGTTTGTTACATTCACTTTTGCACAGATAGACTTAGAAAAGGTAAGACATCTCTTCTTCCTCCAGCTATGGGTTGAATATCATGACTGACCGAGATCATTTGCCTTATAGTGGCAGTAGATGGAAAACTGAATTCAAACCAGCCTGACAAGGGATGGGCTCCATCAGGCTATCTTGCACTAGACACACTGCTGTTGCTATGGTTGCAGTACATATGGTACCCCTATGACCTTAATGGGTTATGGGATTCATGTGACATGACTAAAATTAATGATAAAAACGTAAATTTTCTTACAAATTATCATATTAAAGTGTATCATTTGTTTTTTTTTTAAGTTTATTTCATGTACACATCTAAGACTATGATTCCACTTTTTTATTATTATTTAAAATGCTATTCAGTCTTATCTCTTGTTTCAGATGTTATAATACAAATATTGATTAAAATTTTAGCAATTCTGAGGCATTATTTGAAAATGGGCCTCATAATGGCTCAGAATTCAGGAAACAGAAAGAAACTATCTAACCACATTACCTAAAACTGGTTTTTAAGTATTTTGCATTTATTTACTTGTCACTTGAAATAAAGCCTAGAAGTATCTCACCATTTATTTTCAAATGTAATGGTTTAAAAAATGCAACCAACACTTGAAAATGTTCAGAAAAGATAAAATCCCTAAAAGATATGTCAAGCATTACATAACCTTAAAAAAAAAAAAAAAAATTGATATCTTGATACACCCCAAGATTTATAGATGGCTCTTAAAACTGAGTTATTAAATTTACAGAAGTAACAAATAATAAGATTAATTCAATAAAATTCCTTTTTGTTTTTTTTTTATTATTTAATGCTATGCCCCTTCAGGACATAGGTAATCATAGCCCTCCATAGATTCCTTTCTTTATTATCTGTGTTGCCATGACATGGGAAATATAGTAGAGTGGTTTCTCATCACCTTCAGTTTTGAATTCAGAGTAAAGCTTCTCCTAAACTGGTTACTATTCAAAGATAGAGAGCCTAGTCTACCCTGCTATTCAACCCCTACCCAGAAAAAAACAAAAAAAACAAAAAAAAAAAAACAGATTCATACCATTTCCAAAAGCATTTGTACAAAAGTGAATACAACAGACTTATCTGGAATTTGAACTTGACTCACTGATTCCACTTCCTGTACCAATATGCATTACATTAACTACACATACCGCTTTTCTTTTAGGTGTTCATAATTCTTCTAAAGTTGTTGATTTGGTTACTGCCCATTAAAGCTTTGAGGATATTTCTTAAAGACAAGAAAATGTGGAGATAATAGTACAAAGTGGAAAAGCTTTTTTAACAACAATGCATTTCACACACAGACAGACATACATATATATATATATATACGCCTCTGTCCTGTTGTTAGAAGCATGAATATATAAAATAGATTATACAAAATGCCCAATGGTGTACATTGGCAAAACCTCAAAAAATCTATATGAGCACTGCGGAGATATGCAGCACAAGACTTTAAACGTACCGGTAGTTCACCCCCATAACACATCTGACTATAATTTCAACTTAATAAAGGAAGGATAAGAATTAACTTGGAAAATTCATTGGAGAGTGTGCTAATCTCACAATTTTCAAAAGTAAACCTAAGACCAGGATCATGCCTAATATCGCAATCATCACAAAAACAATAGTAGCACAATGCAGTATAGAAAAAACTGATTTACTTGGAAGGGGTAATTTTAAATTCAAATAGACACCGACAGCACTAAAAAGAAAAAAAAACTCTTTCTGGTTATCATATCTGATAGGTAATTTATTGCCACTTAAAATATTCCTGACACATCTCAACTTGAAGATTCCAAATGTAACACAGTGGCAAAACACATTATCATTAAAAATAGCTTTTAGTTTCAGATACTATTCTACATCCAACAAAGATGCAGACAAGAGTATGTAGATTAATTTGTAGAGACTGGGATGACAAACACAACATGCCTGTTTGGCAAAATAGTTAAAATATTTTGGTTTAAAGAGAAAATCCAATGAAAAACTAAAGAAATTATAAGACAATCTACACTCTGTTCAGCTTGTGATTACCAATTTTTTTATCATTCTAATTTAAACTAATATCTAATCTATTTTCTTCTGCCATCTTTTTCATATCAAAAGTCAAATGAAATCTTATTTGAAACAAATACAATAGAAAACCTTAGTTGATTTTAACTGGAGATTTGACCACATTGTAAAAAGATTTTCATTTGTTAATATAAATGTAAGATGTGAATTTTATACAATTTATTTACAAATCATTGATTAAACCAAAGTTATCATTGATTACAAATATAAAAGTAATCTTCTATTTTTCAATAAGGCTTACATTCATTTCTGAACACTGACAATGATTTTTTTCCCTATTATTCAATGTAGAACTTAAGACTGAATGCCAAAACTTGGTGTTTAATCATGGACATTTTTCTTTTCTCACAGAAATATTTTGTTTATTAATGCTGAAAATTACTAATATCAGAGGCTGAAAAAAGTAGATATCAATAAGAAAGAAAGTGTTACAAGATGAAAGAAAGAAGTGTTACAATATAATACTAGATTCTAATGAATTCATTGCTATGCAATACAATCATGATTATTGTTTAATTTTTCCCATGTTCCTAAATTTTATCATGTCACTATCATTGAATGAATATTTTTATGTATTTATGCATCTGAATATGAACATGTATTTATTAAGACAGGTTTAGATATACAGCTAGTTAACAAGATGGGTTACAATTACATACACAGTGAGTTAACAAAGTGGGTTACATAACCAGACAGGTTACATACATAGTGAGTTAACAAAGTGGGTTATATAACCAGACAGGTTACATACACAGTGAGTTAACAAAGTGGGTTATATAACCAGACAGGTTACATACACAGTGAGTTAACAAGGTGGGTTACATAACCAGACATGTTACATACACAGCAAGTTAACAAGGAGGGTTACATAACCAGACAGGTTACATATAGACCTAGTTAACAAGGAGGGTTACATGATCAGACTGGTTATATAACCAGCTAGTCAACAAAATAATTCTTATTCTCTTCTTTAGGCTGCTATGAATTCAGGCATATGTATTTATTAAATACAAAAAAATAACAAAACAAGGGTATTTAATTTTAATAATGATGATAGGTTGCTCAACTTTGGGTAGAAGGCAAAACTACATCATCCTTCACCTGAAGTCAATAATGTTGCTGCTTGAGTAAATAAAACAGGAATATATACTTTAATGTTAATTAAATATATACTTTAATATTAATTTCTTATTTTGTATTGGAAAAGAACAAAGACAACTTTTAGAGTTTAGTTAGAGAGTTTCTCTCTTTTATTATTAATAACAGTAACACTAAACAGTCTCGGTACTGACTGGGGTTGTAGATTGTGCCTCAATAATTCTTCCTTGGATTTATGTGGACAATAATAATCCGTATGCCATCGACATTTTTTCTTTTTGAAATTTAAGATCTCATGTAGAAAAAAGAAAAATAAATACATTTTTTTGTAAAACATTTGCTTATATATATATATATATATATATATAAATAAATAAAACCTTACAAAAAAATTCGTCTTATTTAATTTAAATCTTATTATTGGCGACATTGTAAATGGAAATTTTTTAATAATCGGTTGAAAAAAAATTTCTTTTTTTTTTTAACATATGTGCTTAAAAAACGTACTGTAAGTAATTTTTTTAATGATTCACCTATTTTTTTTTTTTTTTTTTTTAATTAAAAACTATGTCTGGAAATAACAAAAGAATTTAAATAAAAATTGCCCAACTTCATTATAGAAACAACAAAATTGGTAAAAAAGGAAAAATTTGGTGAGGGATTTTCAATAATCTATCAAATTTCAAATATTATCAGTAATTATAAGCCACCGGAATAATAAATTTGAGCACTTTCAAAAAAAAAAGAAAAAAAAAGTAGATATCCATAACTATTTTTTTAAAAAAGATTATTATTTAGAAGAAAATATTTTTTACATTTACAAAAAAGTAATACTTTGTAATCAAATTATTTAAATAACATTTTTTTTTACGAAATCTTCCATATTTTCCACATTTTGTACCTCAACTCACACACTCAAAACAGAATTATTAACCGATTGTACATAAAATAAAAATAAATTTGTGTAACTTGTGCGTAGTAAATCCACTTTTTTTAATCAATTTTTTTAAAAGGAATTATTTCGCAAACAAAATTATTCATGAACAAAAGAAAAATAACACCCACTACATAAAAAGCTAAGGACTCTTTTTTTCTTTTTTTTAGTAATTTGGTAGATTTTTTGTCATTTTATTATTTTAAAAAAAAAAAAAAAGTATGGTTAATTTTTTTTTTTTTAAAGAATAGAAAGTATTAATTTATTAAACCTTTCCTCAGACGTGTGCCTTCCTTAAAACAAATTGTGTGAAATTGGAATTTTTCATTTTGTTTAGTTAAGTAATTAATTAGTTTGTAGTTTGTTTTTTTTTTGTTGCAGAAAATATTCTGGGGTATTTTTTTATGAATTCTTAAATTACTAACTTAAAAAAAATTAGTGATGAAGAATTTATTTTTGAACTTAAAGAGACCAACGGTCACTGACTATTAAAAAAAATACGGATTTGCGTTTATTTTGTAATAAACAATTTGTATTTTGTATCAATTATAAAACAAAAAGTTTCAAAATTATTTTTGAACTTTTAATTTAGTTTATATAATTTTTTTTTTTTTTTTTACCTTTTTGTTTTAATTTTATCCACTGAAAGGAGACGAATTTTAATAATCTTCATCATCAGTTTCGTCCTCGGAGTCAAAGTTGGGGTCCGATTCAATACCTTCAAATAATCTGTTAAAACACAGACTGTTTGGAGAAGAGAAATGCAAATATGGAGAATTCCGAGGTAGAGACTGCATGCACAACCAACAGAAAAAAGCCCTGCATTTTGTGCACGTCATTTTGTTACAGCCATCAATTTTTTGTATGTTTGTATTACACTGTGGGCAGGGTTTAGAGTATTTTTCCAACCACTCCTGTGAAAATGATTCATCGACAGCTCTCTGAAGAGTTTTTTTACCGTACCGCTTTTCAAGAAATAGTTTTGTTTCAGGGTCTGCATTTAAATATTCATCTTTCAAACGCTTGTGTTCACCATTTTTAATTTTACAGCTAGAAACACCGTGATAGGTAAGCATGCACAGACTACAAAAAACCAGATAACAACTGGGGCAATTTCCTATATTGTATTCCCTCTCTAAGATAACCGGCTGACCGCATGCAGGGCGGGGACAATACACAATATCTGCCATAGTCTGCAGACCCACCTGCAACAGGAGATAATCATAACGAGAGAACACTTCGGGGTCTACCAGGGATTTTACCTGGGCCGGGTGAACCTTGGATTCGCATTTGTCAGCTGGACACTGAAGGCCTGTGATATTCCCAGTCTTTATTTGTATGGTAAAATACTCTTTCATACATTCTTTGCAGAACACGTGGTCACAGCCATCAAACTTTAAACATGAAGAACCTAATTTATCACAGAAACAAACTCCGCACGTGATGGAGGATTTGGAAAACTGCCTCTGGGTTTCTTGCCGATCGTATTCCAAAATTGTGGACAGTAATAAGTCTTGCGAAGCGATATCCTGAATTCCCCGGTTGTCAAAAACATTATTTGATGACCTCGTGCCTCCTTCTTTCTTCAACGTAATAACATTCGACAGGTCCAGTGGAGATTCCAGGTGGAGAAGATTAAACACTTCGTTCTCTAGAACATCAAACCAAAGAAAAAGTATGACCATACCAGCATTCTCTTCCCACAACTGGTCGAGCCTTTTACAAAGAACATCAAGCTGCGACCGAGAAAGCCATTTACAAGAGAGGGTAAATAGAGGGGCACTAATGGACGGGTAACTCTCGGGTAGTTGGAAATTCATGACGATCGGGGGTAGGTGTCGAATTTGGTGAAACTTGCCTGGGGGTTCGGACAATGTAGTAGCCAATTCCAGGTCATCACAGCCTTGAAAGTGGATCATAAAAGGTTGGGGCAGTTTTAATTTTGCGACAAACTGTCCACCGTAATCATCTTCGGAAGGCAGGAACACGTCGTCTTCGTAGATGCTCGATATGGCTGTCAATTCGTCAGATCTTTCGTCATTTTCCTCCTGCTGCATAACGAAAGTGAAACGAGAAACCAAGCCCCAAAATACAGAAAATTGTTAGATTTATTCAGGATTGTGTTTATGGACTGATTGACGTACATGTGTCAATCCAACAGGTAAGATACACACGAAGCCAACGTTACTAGTCCAGGTTATGGTGACGTTATGGGCTACACTTGTTCCCTCCGCGCTATGGTAAGAGTGGAGAGTTACACAACCATCCCCCAACAAAGGTACTTAATTACGAAACAAAATTATTAGAATGATCATCTGCTTTTTATTAAATTAAAAAGGAATAACGTTGATTTACTAAATTTTCATTTTCGTATTAATTAATCAATTAAATAATATTTTAATTATTTAATTTTATTAGTAAATCAAGAGAAACTACTTTTTAATCTTTTAACTAATAAAATTAAAAGAAAGAAATTTTACTTAAATTATTTTAAAATTTAAAAGTCGAATTTTTAATTTGAGAAATCGTTGATTATTTATTTATGAACTAAAATTTTAGGTCTTAAATATATCCTTCCAGAAAGAATTCTTTTTTTTTCATTTTATTCATTGATTTAACTTTTCACGTAAAGATAAATGAAGGAATAAAAATAACATCAACATTTGTACCAAATGAGCCTCCCTCTACATAAGTTATTTAAACAGTGAATATTGAATTTACCATTATTGAAAGTGTCTCAAAAGAGAATAAGTCGAACAATAAATAAATTTATGATAACAAGTGTAAGGGTAGAAAAACTGAAATGTCACATTCTCATAATATACACACATTAAAAATGTTTACACAATTCTATAAAATGATTTGTAGGGGGAGAGATATTGACTAAGGCACATAATAAAATAGACAATGCTCAAAATTTAAATGTGAAATTTGAAAGAGACAAACATTTATTGCATTAACATAAAAATAATAGAACAGAATACAGGTTTTACAAATAAGCTTGCACAAAAAATTCCTTTTGTGCATTTCATTTAAAGGCAAGATATTCAATTCAAAAAATAAAAATATGGCTCATAAAAAAGATATATAACTTATTCAACCAAAATTTGAAAAATCTTAAGGTACAATACAATTCCTTTTTAAAAAATGGTTCAAAATATATATTCTTTTAAAAAATACATTTACTTACTTGGAAGTTGAAACTGAGAACACTTTGGTAGGTTTACCAGAGTCACTGCGACATAAACAAATTTGTTCTTTTTTTTTTAACACAGTTCAATTATTAATTTAAGAAATTTTTTACTTCACTGGTTTCACTCAGGTTCTACTTCTTTTTCTGTTTCTTTGTTTTCTTCTTACTTCTTCCATAAAAAAACAATCTAGTTCATCCACTGGTGATAGCCAAAATTTCTTTTCCTTCTGATATCCTTCTCACTTCACAAATTATTTTAACCTTCTGTACCTTGAAATTTTGTAACCTGAAATTTTTTCCACCAACTCGACTTATATATCAGGTCATCCCATAAGTTCTGTCTGAATTTTGAATAAAGAAAACAAGTGACCAAATGTTACATTTAATTACAGATTCAACCAACAATGTATTTTCCCTGATTATCTATGACTTCCTTCCATCTATTAACAAGCTTACTAATTCCATTACTGTAAAATTCTTTTGGCTTTGATTCGAAGAACTCAAAATGTCAGTTTTAACTTCTTCCTGTGTTACAAAAGCTGTTTCTTCCAAATTATTCTGTAAGCTACAAAACAAATGGTAGTCTGAAGGAGCAAGATCGGGAGAATAAGATGGATGAGGAATTTTCTCCCAACCAAGTTCTACGATCTTTTGTGATGTGATTCTTGCTGTGTGTGGTCTCGCATTGTCCTGATGAAACATCACCTCTTTTCGATTCACTAGAGCAGGTCTTTTTTTCCTCAAAGCTTGGTTCAAATGCTCTAATTGCTGACAGTATACTTGAGCATTAATTGTTGCATTAGGTGGTAAGAATTCAAAGTGGATTATTCCTTGGCGATCCCACCAGATTGAAAGAAGAAGCTTTTGCCCATGAAGTTCCCTTCTCGGCCGTGGCTGGGGTCCTTCCCCTTTATCAAGCCACTGTCTACAATGCTTAACATTTTGATAAAAGATCCATTTTTCGTCGCCAGTCACAAGTCTATCCAAAAAAGGTGAAACAAGTTGGCGAGAATGGAGAGAAGAGCAGATGTCAACTCGGGATTTGGGGTTGTTTTCAGACAATTCATGAGGCACCTATTTTCCAAGTTTATAAACATTTTCAAGTTCAACAACTTCAACAAGATGACGATGAACAGTTGTATAGTGAGAACCACTGCCAATTCCTCAACTGATAAAGCAGGATTTTCTTCAAGGGCTGCTTCAAGAAGCTTTTCATCAAACTCAACTGGACATCCGGTTCGATCTTCGTCTTCAAGGGTGAAATCTCCAATTCTGAATTTTGCAAACCATCTTCTGCAAAGTTCTTTTCATTCACACATTCCTCTCCATAAACTGAGTGAATGTTTCTGGCCGCTTCGGCTGCTGAGTTTCCTTTCTTGAACTCATAAAGCATTATGTGCCTCAAATGATTCTTGGGTACTTCCATGTTAGCAGGGTTTTAATCAAACAAAATTTAATTTTATTGTTCTCTGAAATAAAATTTGATCAGTTTAAACATAAAAATAATGTTCAGCTCATTAGACATTATAAAATACTCTTTAAATTTCGTTCATTTTAACAAAAAGTTAAAATTCGGACAGAACTTATAGGATGACCTGATAGTTTGAACTAGGCCCTAGATCTCCTGATTGGTAAAAAAAATCCAATGGTGTATACTGTATATTCATATTGTTTTGAAATTTGAAAATTAAATCTTAAACTATTCGCCTTATTTTGGCAGTTCTTTCCAGGCCATTTTGATTTTTAGAAAATGTTTCACTTCAAATTTATAAGTTATTATTTGTATTAACCATCTAGCCTTCTTTTAATTTTTTTTAATACACTTCTCTTAAAAGGAAGTATAATAAATGAACCTAAGCTGATATAATATTTATTTATTTTTTATTTAAATTTTAATTAATCATTTATTTAATTTACATTTTTTTATATAAACTTTTATCTCCTTAAGAAAAGAGCAATAAACAAACTTAGCATATCATAATATTTTTAATTATTTTATTTTGACTTTTTAATTATTTTACATTACTTTCTTATAAAAAATTTTTATAATTTATATATATATGCTGGACTCACCCGTTTTTATCAATGTATGAGGGTCATGCAACTCAGTTCCTAGTAGCCGACAACCAGACACCTGCACAGAGACCAAAAGACCACAAGGTCCCCAAACCACCCTTTGCAAGTTTTGAATTCAGAGTTGTCCTTCTCCTAGACCAGTTGCCACAGAACCCAGACTGTCCTGCTATTTACCCATAGCTGGGGGGAGAAGAAGATGATTCATACCTTTCCTAAGGGTATTAGCACGTAAGTGAATGTAATGGATTCAACTGGAATTCAAACTCAGCTCTCTGATTCCTCAATCCGAGCTGTTATACATTACTCCACCATGTCTCATATATATATATATATATATATATATATATATATATATATTATAATTTTTACACATGGACAAAAACAACTTGCTCACTACAAAGACGCATTCTTGTTTCGATGCAGCTGCATCTTGACTGGTGAGAAGAATTGTTCATAACTATTTTTGGTTCTCACCAGTTGAGATGCAGCCACATCGAAACAAGAATGCATCTTTGTAGTGAGTAGATTGATTTTGTCTGCATGTAAAAATTATAATAAATAATTATTGCTCTACTCTTGGTATGGAGCCCTCTTTTGAATTAATGGTACGGAGTGAGAACACAGAAAGCCAAGTTTGAATTCCAGTTGAGTTTGCTAGATTCACTTATGCACAAATACCCTTGGGAAAAGTATGAATCCATCTCTTCTCCTCAGCTATGGGTTGAATAGCAGGACAGACTGGGTTCTTTAGCCTTGGTTGGCAGTCTACAGTAGAGAGAAATGGCAACCTACAGCGGAAAAAAATCTGCCTCGTCAGTCATGTATCAAAAGATACATGATTGCTCAAGCGTGTATCATGTATGGCACTTAATTGACTGGACTTTTATTATTTACATAATTTATCTTTGAACCACTGTCTTCATTTTTGTTGCTGTTGTCACATGTTGTGACCTTCAGCTTTTATCAGGTGTTTGTAACCTTGAGCATTACTAAATAAGAACTGGACAAAATATCCCCGAACATAGTCAGTGCAATGCAAACAATCTACCCCTGTAAATTAAATAGATGGTTCAGTTCAAAATTCCCTGAAGGTTACCTGAATTGATAAGCACCTTATCTGATGAAGGTCAAAGAGCACAATGGTGGAAACAGTGTGATAATAACTAAGTATAAGTAATGTAAATAATAATTCTTCATTCTAGAAATTCAGACAAAAGTTTTTATTATTTTTTAAATAACGTTATAGAAACATGATGCTTTTGCTGTAGAAGCTACATTATGAAAGAGCCTTATGTATAGTGGCTCAGACTGAGGAATCAGAGTGCCGAGTTTGAATTCCAGTTGAATCCATTACATTCACTTACATGCTAATACCCTTCCTCTTCTTCTCACCCCAGCTATGGGTAAATAGAAGGACAGACTGAGTTTTATAGCCTCCATCTTAAATAAATCAACAATGTTTTACAGAAAGTTTTAACATCAACTTGAGATTTTTCTTGTTAAAAAGTTGATTAATTTTAACTTAAACATTCAACATTATGGATGTTGAAATAGTGTCTTTTATATAGTGTTTTATCGGAACTTAACATGCACAATACAAATTCACGAATTTGAACAAAAAACAACAACAAAGACCCCAGAATAATGTCAGAATCAACAAAAATTTTTCATCCCTTAATAATCAATAATTAATAGTCAGTTGTGCTTTGTTTTATTTATAATGTGTATAAATGTAGACAGAGAAAAGCAAATATTGATAATATGGCGAGTGTGACAAAGCCTGAGGCT